GCCCCGCGCACCTGGGCCGCACGAGCGCAGCCCGCGTTACGCGGACACCGCCTGGTGCCGCCGCTGCGCCGGCTGGAGGAGAGCCTGTGCCCGCGCCACCTGCGGCCGCTGGAGCGCTACTGCCGCGCGGAGCGCCTGTGCCTGTGCGAGGCCTGCGCCGCCCAGGAGCACCGCGGCCACGAGCTGGTGCCGCTGGAGCAGGAGCGCGCGCTCCAGGAGGTGGGCCGCCGGCGCCGCGCACGGGTGACGGTGGGCGGGCCGAGGGTCCTGGGTCGCCCCCCGCCCCCCCCTCCTTCCCATTTTGTTCAAGTTCTCCTGGAAGTTGAGGGTCTTTGCTGTCCCTTCCAGCCCTGACAACGTCATTCCGCTCGCGATGGGATGGGCTGGTGCGGGGACCCAGCGGGAACGCGAAAAGGACGCGGAGGGTGGGCAGGGGCCCTGAAGCCCAGGCGGGGCCCATGGGGGTCTAAGGCAGGAGGGATCTGGATTAGGCCCTGCGGTTCCTGGGCAGCTGATTCCCGCTGCGCGGCTGATGAGACCGGCCAGTTCGTGCGGGTCCGGGCTCCAGGTTCGCCCAGCCCGGAGGCCGCGGGTTTAGATGGGTGTGGCAGCCACTGGAGTGCGGCCGGTGGAGCACACAGACCGCTCTGTCCAGCTGTTCCGGGGCCAGTGGTTGGACCATGTGCGCGGTCCTTCCTGCTGCCTCCGCCCCCAGTTTCCTTTGGCCTCCAGCCCGGTCTTGGCGCTTTGGCCTTGGGATTTTCCGTGTCTCCAGCCTGAGCCGCCGTGACTCATAAGACCCAGGGGGATTTGCCCGGAATCCCCATTTTTAAGGCCTGGATTGGGGACACGGGCTCTTTGGGGACAGGGGTCCCCAGGACAGCTGAATGGCCTCTTGTGCAGCCCCTGCTCCCTCCATTCTCTGCCTCTTCTCCACTGAAGGAAGTTCTCAAGTGAATGTGACATTGAGGACCACGATGGCCTTGTACTTGCCCGCTGGTCAGAGAGGGGAGGCAGACAGCCCCCAGCCAGACTGTGCTCCCCCTGGGCATTTGGGAACGACACCCGCCTCGGCCTGAGGCCAGCCCTCTGATGTATTGTGGGACATCACGGCCACCCCCAGTCCCACCGGTGCACCGATACCATGCCCACGTCGCCCCTGCCCTGCCCCACCCCGGGGTGAGGCCTGGGACCCCAGGGCAGGCTGTGGCCTCTGCCAGGCGCCGTACTCATGAAGATGTCACCCACAGGCCGAGCAGCCCAAAGTGCTGAGTGCCGTGGAGGACCGCATGGATGAGCTGGGCGCCGGCATTGCCCAGTCCCGGCGGACCGTGGCCCTCATCAAGGTCAGCCCCGACCCTGACCCCGTCCCCTCCTGCAGGAGGCTCCTGGCACTGTGAGCTCGCAGCGTGGTCTGGTCCCCTCCAAGGAGGCCTGTGCCCAGGGCATTGCCCACTCCCCCTGAGCACGAGTGTCTCCCCCGACCTGGCAGAGACCCAGGGCGGCTCCGGCAGGTCCCTCTGCCCCTCCCAGAGGGTGGGGTGGGAGAGGGGGGTCTGGAAGGATGAGGCCCAAACAGTGATGGTCTGTGCCCTCCCCGCCGCTCCCACTGTCCGGTGCAGAGCGCAGCCGTGGCAGAGCGGGAGAGGGTGAGCCAGCTGTTTGCGGAGGCTGCAGCCACCCTGCAGGGGTTCCAGAAGGAGGTGCTGGGCTTCATCGAGGAGGGGGAGGCCGCCATGCTGAGCCGCTCCCAGGGCGACCTTCGGCGGCAGGAGGAGCAGCGCAGCAGGCTGAGCCGGGCCCGCCACAACCTCAGCCAGGTCCCCGAGGCCGACTCAGTGAGCTTCCTGCAGGTGAGGACCAGAGAGGGCGGGAGGCGGAGAGAGAGGGCAGGGGGTGCCCGAGCCTTCAGGGCTGTGCCGGCTCCCGGCTGGGCTGTCTCACCCCCGCTGGGAGGCATTGTGGCTCGCAGGGCCTTCATGGGCATGTATCTGGCACAGGAGCTGCTGGCACTCAGGCTGGCCCTGGAGGAGGGGTGCGGCCCCGGGCCTGGTCCCCCGCGGGAGCTCGGCTTCACTAAGTCATCCCAGGCTGTGAAGGCGGTGAGAGAGGTGCTGGCCGCGGCCTGCGCCAGCCAGTGGGGGCAGCTGCGGGGGCTGAGCGGTGACGAGGACGGGCCGCACAAGCTCGGCCCAGAAGGTGGGTGCCCCTCCGAGTGACTCACCTCCCCCAGGCTCCCCTCCCAGGCCCCCAGGCCCGGTGCCCGTGCAGGAGCAGGGGATGGAAACAGCCTGTTGCTGGGCGGAACCGAATCCTGCCATCGACTGGAGCCGCCACCCCGTCATGACCAGTCAGCCGCTTTGGCCGTAGCCTACAGGACGGGGCGGGAGGGGGCTTCTCCCCGCCCCTCTTTAACTTCAGAGGGCCTGGGGCCCGGGGGCAAGTGGGGCAGGGGGGCAGATTCCCAGGGCCAGGCATACATGTGACCCAGGGTACCCTACCTGGGCGGCGTGCCTGTCCCAGGAGGCTTGGGTTGCTGGGAGGAATTGGGGGAAGAGGGAATTGGGGGTCACGGCTTTGGAAGGGGCACCTTGCAGAGCAGCCCAGTCCCGGGGAGCTGGCGAGACCCCTCCGCTGTCTCCTCTCTGCAGCCGACGCTGAGTCCCAGGACCCAGATAACAGCAGCCACCTGGACAGCGAGGTGCCCCGGGATTACTTCCTCAAGTGTGAGTGCACCCTGGGCTCGGCCCTCCGCACACGGGCCCCCTGACGGCCGCAGGGCTGGCCTGGCCCTGGAGTCCCTCCTTGTCCATGGGGTGAACTAGGCCAGCTCATGGGGCGCGCTCCAGCAGGGCTGAGTAGTGCTGGCTGCAAAGGTGGGGCGAGGCTGTGCTTGGGGAGGTGGGCACCTAGGGGAGGGTGTCCTCTCTGGCCTTGCCCCTGAGCCCCCCGTCTCTCTCCCGCCCGGGGAGCAGTCGCCTACATCGTGGACCTGGACAGTGACACGGCGGACAAGTTCCTGCAGCTGTTCGGAACGAAAGGCGTGAAGAGGGTGCTGTGTCCCATCAGCTACCCCGAGTCCCCCACCCGCTTCACGCACTGCGAGCAGGTGCTGGGCGAGGGCGCCCTGGACCGGGGCACCTACTACTGGGAGGTGGAGATCATCGAGGGCTGGGTCAGCGTGGGCGTCATGGCTGAAGATTTCTCCCCACACGAGCCCTACGACCGGGGCCGGCTCGGCCGCAACGCCCACTCCTGCTGCCTGCAGTGGAACGGACGCGGCTTCTCCGTCTGGTTCCACGGGCAGGAGGCGCCCCTGCCGCACGCCTTCTCGCCCACGGTTGGGGTCTGCCTGGAATATGCCGACCGAGCCCTGGCCTTCTATGCCGTGCGGGACGGCAAGGTGAGCCTTCTGCGCCGGCTGAAGGCCACCCGGGCCCGCAGGAGCGGCCCCCTGGCCTCTCCCGGGGACCCCTTCCAGAGCGTCCTGGACAGCCACTTCCCGGGGCTCTTCAGGAGCCGGCTGAAGCCCGCCTTCTTCCTGGAGAGCGTGGACGCCCACCTGCAGATCGGGCCCCTCAAGAAGTCCTGCATATCAGTGCTGAAGAGGAGGTAATGCGGGCGCCGGGCCTCGGCCGCTGCCTCGGCTCCTGGCGTGCGCGTCTCCGCAGCCCATGCGTCCTCAGCAGCCTCATTTCTAAAAGAACCCTTGGCCTCCCAGACCCTCTCAAGTGCCTCTCAGACCCCCCTCCCCCCACTGCAGGCCTTGTTTCTGGGAGAGAGAGCCACAACCAGGACAGATCCAGGCCACCCCAAGCCCTCCTTTTCCAGGTGCCTAGGACAGTGCCTGGCACACAGTAGGTGCTCAATAAACATTTGTTGAGTGAATGACTCCTTCCTGCTCTCCGTCCACCAAGAATTTCCCAGTGTTTCTCATCTTTCAGGAGCCGGTCTTGAAAGGCAGGAGAAGGGAACAGAGTCCCTGGTCCCAGGATTCCTGTTGGGAGGGAGGGAGCCCAAAGAGGGGGCTGAAATGGGGTGCCTGCCCTTTGGGGCAGCCCTACTCCCTGGTGCTGGACAGGGGCAGCTAGAGATGGCTTCTCCCGGGGGGGTCCAGCGCCACAGCCGTTCTGGCTGCCCGTGTGTTTGCTTTGCCGGCCTGGTTCCCATCAGCTGTTTTCATCCTTAATGCCACAGCCTCTCCCTGGACCTGCCTGTGGTGTTTGTGCCCAGGGCTAACTGCAGACATCACACCCCGAGAACAGGGCACGGCTCCTGGGCAAGGAGGCTTGAGACCCGAGTTGCTTTCACTCACACACCTTCTCAGCCATGAAGGATGTGACTGAGCTGACGCGGGTGTGGCTGGAGCCCAGAACATCTACAATAAAGGGACCTGTGTCCTCTGGGCTCTGCCTCACCTCCCGCGCCCGGCTGTGCAGCCGGGACAGTGCCGGGCCTCCAGGCTGGGGAGACCCGTGCCCTGCACCCCAGCAGAGCTTCTGCCTGGACGGCCCCGTGTCCCCTGCTGCCACCAAACCCCCATCGTGGCCTGGGATGCCCCAATTCTGCTCCCCGAGGCTACTTGGTGAGTGTTTCCAGCCCAGCCCGCCCTCCCTCGGTTCTTTGTGGCCCAGGGGCACCCCAGAGAACGCCCCAGCAGGAAGGGCCAGGGCAGACGGAGGCCTCTCTGCACCCAGCCCAGGTCAGGCGGGACAATGGGTGAGCTATGCAGCCAGACAGCAAGGCCATACAAGTCCTGCCCTGGCTGCCTGGGCGGCTAAAAATAGTCCCTCCTGCGCAGTCCTGCCTCAGCCCGCAGCCAGGATGTTGTTTTTCTGGGCGGGCCCTCCTTGCTCCTGGTGTTTTGGGTTCAAAACACCGTTCCCTAGGCAGCCAGGGCCCCCAGCTCACCCAGCCGCTGGGGCCCATGAGGGAGGCGGCTCTGGGGCCTCACGAGGTGGGTCGTGGGGCTTCCTAGTGGCCGCTCACCTGCTGTGAGCCTCCCACCTTTCACCACCCCTCCCACCACCCCAGCTCTGGCTCATCGCCCCCCTGGCACTGGGGCTTCCTGGCGGAATTCCAGTCTGACTTGTCAGGTCTGCAGCCAGCGTCCCTGCCGCTTCCAGTGATTCCAGCTCCCAACACTCATGTGCGCTGCAGCCGCACAGCCCCGCGCAGGGGGCGGGCACCCAGGCCGCACAGCTGGCATGGGGCTGGCGGGTGGGCGCGGCCCAGGTTTCAGTGTGGTCCCCACTGTGGGGTATCCACACGCCTGCCCGTCCTCTAACTCTGGGATCATGCTAGAGCTGGAGGGATGGCGTGTGGGAGTCCCTGTGTATCCGTGTGTCTGTCTGTGTGTCTGTGCGTGTGGGTGTCCTGTATGAGTGTGTATGTCTGCCTGTCCGCCTGTATTTGTGTGTCTGAATCCAGTTGTACTTTTCAAAATGTTCTGAGAAGACCAGGAGTTAAGAGGTGCCCGAGGTGGGGCAGGTGGCAGGCTGGGAAGGGGCAGGGGCATTTCTCACCTAAATTACAGTGACTTCACACTTTCAAATATATTTTAAAAGTGACTTCACACTTTTAAATATATTTTTTTTAAATATATTTAAAAAAATAAATGACCCTGCCACCCTCACCACCACTCCGCCAACACTTTGACCCTCACCACTCCGCCAACACTTTGTCAAACACCAAACCATAGAAGTTAATATTTGATTGTTAGAAAAAACAGCATTTGGCTTATGGAAATAACCACTTTAAATGAAATCTTTTAGGCACTTGGGTGTAGCCAACACTTTAATTAAATAGATTTTACTGAAAATTGCTTGGAAAAAAGAGAAACTGTTAAAAAAAAAAAAAGAAAAAATGTTAGAAACCCCCATGTAGGCCAAACCTTCTACCACTACCGTTTCCATAGGAAGAAACTGAGGCACAGACATGCAGGAGCCTACCCAGTCCAGCTACCCAGTCCAGCACACTTGCTCCATGCTCCACGCGTAGGGGTGGCCTTGCTTAGAAATGTCTGAACACATGCACAAACACGCATGCACATGCACGCACACACATGCACAAGCACACTCACACATGCATGCACACACATGCACAAACACGCACTCTTTCCCAGCGTTGCAGTAGCCTGTATGAGAGCTGCCCTGAGCCTGGCCCAGTTGCCATGGCCACCAGAGCCCCTGGCGGAGCTGCCCAGGATGTGTGGTCTCCGAAGCTGCCGCCGGCGCCAGCACAGACAATGGCAGAGTGTGAAGGGCTCCGGGGCTGTCGCTATGGCTGAATCTGGCTCCTTTGGGCCAGGCAGGGAGCCAACCTCCACTTGCGCTTTGTTTCTGTGGGAAAATGACTCCAGAGCCCTAAACAACAGGCCGAGCAACGGGCTGGAGCATCGCTGCTCTTGGCAGCTGCCGACTGCTGTGTCCTGCACCCTTGGGTCCTGCACCCCTCACTGCTCCCAGCCCCTCCGCACACCCCAGGAGGGTCAAGGCAGACACCATCTCCACCCTTGTCCTCCCCTCCTCCGTCCCCTCCCGGGGAGCACCCACTGAAGGGCCTCCCCTCCACTCCCCTCCTCCCAGGCCCAGCATGAGGCCAGGCCCAGACTGTGGCCAAGCAGCAGGCTGTTGGGAAGACGGGCTGAGCTGGGAGGGGCTGAGGTCCAGAGGCTCTGCTGGGCTGGGCTGGTTTCCCCGGGAGGAAAATAGCCCGTAGCTGCAGGGTCTGCGTCAAACCCAGCCCTGAGCTGTGGGCAGAGTGGCAGCTGCCAGCAGGGGCCCTGGTGAGGTGGAAGGGAGCTATTTCGGGCGGGTCATGTTCGGTAACACAAGTCCCTGCTTCTCCATCAGGAGGCAGAGCCAGGGCACGGCTGGAGCTGTTTCTGGTTGCTATGGAGACGAGCCCCACCCAAATTTCCCGGTCCAGACCTCCCTGCTCTGTCAAGTTCAATTTCCCCAGAAGTAGCGGCAAGGCCTGTTCTGACCGAGTCCGAGATGGAGTGTTTACACAGACCTGCTGTCCGGTTCCACTTCTGCGCCTCCCAAAGCCCCGAAAGCCAGGAAGAGGCGGGAGTCAGCCCTGCGGAGCCGCGTGGAGGGCGCTCAGGGAAGGAGGGCCTCGGAGAGGCGATTGGGGGCCTGGGCCCCTCCCTGCAAGTTCTGGGTCCTCCTTCCCAGAGTTGGGGGTGCTCCTCTCCATCTACCCGGAAAAATGCCAGATGGGGTAGCCTCGGCCCCTCTCATCCTCTTCTTTCTTTCCTTAAACCCATTTCTCACCTAAATTACAGTGACTTCACACTTTCAAATCTGATGGCATTGCGTCCCCAGGTGAAAGCCTGCCATGGCTTCCCATGTCTCCTAGGAAAAGTCCAGAATCCTGATCAGGCTCCGTCCCTGCAGAACGGCCTGCCTCCCTCGCGCCTCTTCCTCTCCTTCCTACAGGCTGGCCCCCTGGGGTGCGCTGGCCCCCCCAGTCCAAGCCCCGGCCCACCCTTCTTGCCTTGCTAGCTCCTCCTTGCCCTTCAGACCTCAGCTGCCCCTTCCGGGTGGTCCTCCCTGAAACGCCCCTGGGGCAGCTGCTGAGATGCCCATTGTCCCAGCCCCTCGGGTCCTGAATGGCAGCCTCCTTCTCCCCTGGGCCAAGCAGGAGTCGGCTGGGGCTGTCATCACAAAGTGCCACAAACCGGGGGCTAAACAGGGGCTGGTTACTGTCTCACAGTCTGGAGGCCAGGAGACCGTAATCAAGGTGTTGGCAAGACCGGTTCCTGCCGCGGCCGCGAGGGAGAGTCCGTCCCAGGCCTTCAGCGCACTGATTGGCTGGTGATGGCAGCAGTCCTGGCTGTAGCTCCCTCTGTCATCCGGGAAACGCCTTTCAATATCTTGAGTCTCCTACCACGTGAAGAGCAAACAAAGGGCATATCTAAAAAATGACCCTGTCTGGCCAGTTGATAGGTCGAAGCTCAGTGGTTGAGCGTCGACCTGTGAACAGGAGGTCACGGTTCGATTCCGGTCATGGGCACATGCCTGGGTTGCGGGCTCGATCCCCAGTAGGGGGTGTGCAGGAGGCAGCCAATCAATGATTCTCTGGCATCATTGATGTTTCTCTCTCTCTCCCTCTCTCTTCCTCTCTGACATCAATAAAAATATATTTAAAAAAATAAATGACCCTGCCACCCCCAGAGGTCGGGAACTACGTAAGCCACACTGGCCGCCCTTCAGGACGCTGCTTGGGGAGCCATAAATCGGGGCAGTATCAGCTCCAGGAACACAGGACCTGTTGGGTGGGTGCTCCTCCCACCTCCCTCCCCCCCGCCCCCAGCCCACCCCTGCCTTTCTTCTGGAATGGGAAGGGGGCTTTCAAGACGAGGATTGCAAAACCTATTCAGGGCTTAACAATGAGCAAGTTGTTAAAATAGCCAAGTAGAACAGAGAATATTGGAGTACAATATAAAATAAAACTTGTCCCAAACGCACATCTTTTTTTTTTTTAGCTGATGTAATTCAGTCTCCTTTTGGGGGAAAATAGCTTAAGCACTTAAACGCTTAAGCAATTTTTAGATAAACCTTCATGGCATGAAGAGTGTTTCTGGGAATGAGCTCCCCACCCACCCAGCTGTCTTTGGTCAGGCGCCCAGTCTCCTCTGGCCAAGCAGTGGCTCCCGCACAGTTCGCCCCAGGATGGCCCGAGCCCCACCAGAGGAAGGCGGGAAGTGGTCTTAGTCAGGTGTGGGTTCTGGAGGGTTCTGAGCAGGGTCCACAGGAAGCGAGGGTCAGACCGGTCCTGGGGGGCTGCTGGCCCTGAGCAGGGGTTCGAAGCAGCGGGATTAACGAGCGTTGGGTGCCGTCAGGAGGCGAGCGGTTAGCATGGGGCACCCCCTAATGGTGAGGCATTGCCAAGCCTGCCTGGGGTATTTCTGGTAAGAAAACAGCAGTCGCTGAGGGAGGGGGTCCTCAGGTCCCTGTAGCGTGGCTGGGGCTTCGCCTGCGTCTCCCCTCCCAGCCGGGGGACTGCAAGGCTGTTTTTGCTTGTCCAGCTGATTTTTACTTTCTTTGCACGTATAAACGTGCACCCGTGTGATGGGTCTCGCTATAAAATGCATTGCTTGCTGTGGGTCAAAGTTTAAAAACAAGGAAATGTTGGCGGCAGCAGGAAGGGACCGGGTGTTAGACCGGCGGGGTTAGCCCACCTGGGTCCAGCAACCTCGGGACCTGGGTTCTGGCTGGGAAAGAATTCAGAGCCAAGACTCGCGCTGTAAGAGAACGTTCACTGGGTAAATCCCGGAGGTAGAAGAAGTAATTCCTAGAAGAAAAGGGCTTAGGAAGCAAGTTACAGAGGCAAAGGAAGGGCCCTGGGAGCTTGGGAGTGAGGAAGGGGGACGAAAAGGGGGGTGGGTGGAGAGAGGTGAGGGCCTGCACCCGGAGGGAGCGTGCACGGGTCCTCCGTCCTAAGGGTTTTAAGGGTGCAGATGTTAGGGGAGGTCCCAGGGGAAGATCCCAATAGGGTATTCAGCAGCTTTCCAGGTGTGTCCTTGCAGGGTGGTGGACTCCAGGTCAGGGGTCCTCAGTCAATGCGGTTAGTCCTGAGGTCGGCCTTGGTGCAGCTGGTCTGGTTTTGCTGCTTCTCTGGGCCTGGAGCTGAAATACTACTGAGGCCTGGAGGTGATCTCTCGGGAGGAAAGGTCAGGGGGTCTAAGCCTATGGCCATAGGTATGCGAGGGTAGGAAAGGTCCCTTGGGGGCGAGGTCCCCCCTACAATTGTCCGTTGCTAGGCACCCGGCGTTCCTCCCTGGTGACCTTCTGAACCTGGCCCGTCGTCCTTGCTCTGCTCAAGCCTAACTGCCCACCTGGCACATCGCTTCTCCACCTTTTTGAGGTCTCGGCACACAAAGACAGTGATGATTTGTCCAGCACAAATGATACTTGTTCTGCTCACTGAGGCACAGAGATGAAGCTGCTTGGGGGTCAGGAGGGACACCAGGAAAGGCACCAGGTGTTAGACAGGCAGGGTCAGACCCACCTGGCTGCCCGGGGGGAGGGGGGGGGGCGGAGCAGTGTCTCTCAGGCATACTCACACCCCTTCTTAGCACACCTCAAGATGCTTGGGTCTGGAGAATAGGAGGACTTACAGCTTAAGACAAAGGGGCCATTTCTGGAAACAGGCAGAGCCTGTGTGGACTAGAAGGCAGGAGAGGTCTGAGTTCTGAGACCTGGGCCCAGACGGGGACTTTGGCCGCAGACTTGGATCAGCAATGAACTGCCCTGGAGCCGGCCAGTGTGGACGCTGGAGACCACCGGTCCCTCCACGGCCGGGGAGCGGCCCTAAGGGTGTGTTTGTATAAAACTTGCAAAAGTTGGACATTTAAGCCGGAATCCGCTAAGCCTGCTATCTCTCTCCACTCCGACTTCCTCTTTATCACACTTCCCCTCCTGTCAGGAGCCCTCAGTGTGGCCACAGCACTGTGTATTCATGATATTGTCTTTTAGTTTAGAGCCTGAGAAATAAGATAGCTACTAAAAAGGGCGCCTGGTGGGTAACTGGGCTCCAAAAAAAATAAAATAAAGAGCCTAGCAGCCATTTCTCTGCAGCAGGGCCTCTCACGCAAACTGCGCTTCGGGGAGAAGCCGGCACTGAACCGCCTGCCTGCAAGGTGCTCCTGCCAGCGGAGCCAGCCCGTGTAGAGGAGCTCCTGGGACCCTATTTCTACGGGGAGGACTGAGGCTTCCCCATCCAATTGGAGCTGCACAGCCATCGCCCATCAGCTTCATCACTGACCAATCAGAGCGGCTCCATTCTGACCAATCAGGACAGGGCCTTCTGGGCCAAGCAACCTGTTGGGAGGTGGTGCACCAAAAGGTTGCTTGTAAGAAAGAGGCAGCCGATGGATGTCAGGCTCTTCTCCCTTCCTCTTTCTCTAAAAATCAATACACGATTCTTTTTGAAAAGAAAAAGCCCTGACGGGTGCGGCTCAGTTGGTTGGGTGCCGTCCCATGCACCTTCGGTTCCTGCTCAGGGCGCATGCCCGGGTTTTGGGCTTGGTCCCTGGTAGGGGGCATGCAGAGAGCAGCAGACGGATGTCTCAGACTCACATCAGTGTTTCTCTCTCTATATATATAAAAATCAAGAAAAAAAATCTTTAAAAAAAAAAACACCTGGGATTTGGTGTCCTCATTTGCATGAGAATGGACCAATCAGGGACCAGGGGCAGGGACTTCTGTCTATGTAAGCCTGGTCCCCCATGGCGGTGAGAATACTTTACTTTTCCACCAAAGATGGCATCCTTTGGCTAGAACCAAAACACTGAAGGTGCCAGAGCAGACCAGCACAGACCAGCGCAGGACTGTGCAGGAGGCAACCAAACAATGTGTTTCTCTCACATCAATATTTCTCTCTGTCGTTCCCTCTCTCTTCCATGCTCCCTCTCTAAAATTCAACGGAAAAATATCCTCTGGTGAAAAAAAGGAAAAAAAATATCCTTTGGTGAGGATTAAAAAAGAAAAAAGTTAAATTAAGGAGGTGGACCCTGCGACTGGCCACCACGTGTCAGGAAACCAGCTGTTTGCCCGGAATGAAACTCTGAGCCCTTAAGATGATGCACCAGGACCTCCACGCAGGGTGAGATGCTCACATTCCCCCTTAAAAACCCCCCTCGAGGTGGGGAGTTTACTAACTACAGATGCCCAGTAGGGCCACCCAATGCTAGGTCACAAGCTGAAACGAATCAGGCCTATTTTGTAAGCTGCTGGCCCCACATTGTGCCTAATTTCGTTCAATCTGGTTAAAATCTTCCAGCCAGGACGCTGCGGGGACCGGCTGGACCACTAAGCCAGAACATTCTAGAGGGAGCAGTGCCACCTGGAGGCCAGTTGTGGTGGAGGCGCATCCCACGGGACAGTGAATTTGGTGGGGGGAACAGGGAGATTCTCACCGCCCACCTGTTAGGGCCTGGGTTTTTTGTTTTGTTTTGTTTTTGGCTATTTTATTGATTTCAGAGAGGAAGGGAGAGGGAGAGAGAAACATCAATGATGAGAGTATCATTGACGGGCTCCTGCAGGCCACCTACTGGGGATCCAGCCCGAAACCCGGGCGGGTGCCACTACCAGGAATGGAGCTGTAACTTCCTGAGTCATAGGTCAAGGCTCAACCACTGAGCCACGCTGGCCGGGCTAGGGTCTGGGTTTGATGTCGTGAAGGGAAAGTTTTCCTGACTCTACTCTGCCAGCCACCCACCCACCGTGTCCTGCAGCAGAGACTGGGTCTTGCACTCATCTATGTGAATGGCTCAGTGACTATCCAAGTCGGGTGTAAAGTCACCTAGTAAGTCTCCATGATGTTGGTTGAGTGAGTCAAGATGCCCTTGTAAGGTGACTTTTCTGCGAGCCACACACCAGATTTAGATTACAGCCCCCATTCTGTGTGCCCAGTGCTTTTTAAAAAAAATATGTATTTTCATTTATTTCAGAAAGGAAGGGAGAGGGAGAGAGAGAAACAATGATGAGAATCACTGATCAGCTGCCTCCCGCATGCCCCCAACTGGGGACCAAGCCTGCAATCCAGCCATGTGCCCCCGACCAGAATCGAATCCAGTAGTTTTTTTGTTTTTTGTTTTTTTTAATTTCCCCTACGATGCGCCCAACTGTTCATTCCACAAGGTGGGGAGTACACAGGAGGATTAGTAAGGCAAGGTAGTGAATCATCCAGGCCTACGGTCTGGAAGACTACAAGTTCCAGAATGCATCCTTCATTAGTATACAGAGAGGTGGAGGGAGCATTGCCTTCTGGGAATTGTAGTCTTCAAGTTGTTTGTGATGCAGGCGAAACTAGGCGGAAGGGGGAGAGAGTGTAAACTCTTTGACCACGTGACACTCGGGATCAGGTGGTTGGGCCAGCCTCCGTCTAAGAGCTGTGATTGGCTGACTCTATTGCGAACGACGCCACTAGGGGCGGGCCGAGAGAGCGCAAGCCCACTGCGTTGCTAGTCTTGGGACCCCTTTCCAAGAGACTATGGCGCTCAACAAGAATCACTCGGAGGGCGGCGGAGTGATCGTCAACAACACCGAGAGGTGAAAACGCTGCACAAGATCCGGGAGGCCCGAAGGGAGGGCGACAGGAGCGTGGGCGGTGGGCGCTGGGCAAAACAATCACCGAAGA